TCCTGTGTATGACATAATGGCTTTATATAGACCAAATCAAAATTTAAAGCAGCAAGAATTTACACCAGAATATTCTGGAGATGAAACAGAGGTAATTTATAAAAATATGTTTTTAGATATTATATAGAAAAATTTACAAGAACTATTTACAGGATATTGCAGATAAAAATATGGATCAAATAAAAAATGATCATAACAATATGAAATCTATGATATCTTCTGTGTCGTCAGGTCCAATAGCTATACCTGGTTCACCAGCTCGACCGAGTCCTTCAAAGCAAAGTTCACGTGATAGTTTAGAAAGTTTAGAAGATGGTGAAGATGGTATGATTAAGTAATATCATATTTTATTTATTTTAATAAATGATTGAAAAAATTTATATATTAAAAAATTTGGTAGATTTACGTCGTTCTCGAAATCCTGTACGTAGATCAAATTCTAGTCCTGAAATGAGCGCTAATTGGAAAAATCCATTCTTAAATAAAGAAAAATTAAATTTACAAGTCGATCGTGATTTTTCAACAGATATAGAAATTAAACTTGATGCTGAATTAAAGAAACCTGCGAAAACTACGTACGCAAAGGATATGAGGTATTATTATTTCGATAGTATAATTTAATGAATTGATAGAAGAACTTAAAAATAAGCATTTAGTTTTAATTAAATAAGATTTATAATAAAATAATATAAAGTGAAAAAAGATATATCACAGTTTCGAATATTTTTTCAGCTAAAAAAAAAAATTGCAATTTTGATTTTAAAAATCAAAGTCAAAAGATTTTTTATTATATTATATTTTATTTATTACAAAAATCAAATTTTTTAAAAAATTATAAATTACATTCTAATGATCAATTTAAAAAATAATGTTAAATTCTTTTATATTAATATGCTTAAATCCTAATTCTATATTAATTTTAATTAGAATATTTTCATATTTCAAAATCAGAAATAAAATAAATAAAATAAAATAAAATGTATTATTAACGAAGTAATTCCTAATAAATGAAATAAATAATTTTTTAATATGTGTATAAACTTTGATTTTTATTTTGTTTAAAAATTATTTTTATTCTATAAATATTTTTAAAAGAAATTAAATAATCAAAGAGGATATAATTTGATGTTATTCATTTTTTAAGTTGGATATGTTAAGAAATATATATGAAAATATAATAATTCGTATATAAATATAATTAATTTTGTTTTTTAAATATAATTATATATTTTTTGATGTATTAATCTTTTTATAAAAAATATAATTTTTATAAAAATAATAAAAATCATTAGATCAAAAGATTTTCAATATCATATTTATTATTAATTATATAATATTTTTTAATATCTAATATCAATAAATAATAATTCAATATTATATTAATTAAATCATATAAAATAATGATTATATTTATTTTATAATTCTTTATCATTTTATAGAAAAAAAAATGATAAATTATTTTAATAATATTGAAATAAAAAATATTTTCTAATCCAATGATTTTTTAGAATAAATATTAAATAACTAATATTATAATAAATAATATAATATATAATTAAAAAAATATAATATATAATTAAATAATAAATATTAATAAATATTATAAAAATTAAGTTAGCATTAATTAAATATATCAAAAAATATATGATTATATTTAAGAAATGTCTGTGTCCATATAAAAAATATAATAATTAAATTATTAATTTCAATATCATTCAACTTCTATTGAAAATATTTTTTTATGTAACAATTAATTTTCAAATAATTTAAAATTGATAAGATAGATATTTTACTTTGTGTTTCATATGCTGCTATTTCAATAATAATATTTTATTTAACTTATTTAACTGAAATATGAAAATATTCTAAACTATATAAAACAATGCTTGTGAAAATATTTTAAATAAAATGTGAAAATATTTTAAATAAAATATGAAAATATTTTAAATAAAAATGATGTAAAGATTAATAAAATATCATTTTCCAATTAAAGAAATCATAAATTGAATTGCAATTAATTTCAAATAAAATCAAGATTAATTTTGCAGAACTTTTTTTAGAGAAAACTCTATTAAACTAGAAATAAAGAAATTTATTTAAACTATAAAATATACTTTCTTAATATTCATGTTTTAATCTAATATGATTATAATTAATCATAATACTTATAATTATTATATTTAATAATTATAATTATAATATATAATATATAATGTAATATATTATATAATGTACTATATAATATATTATAATATATTAATATTATTGCATGAAATATATCAATTCATGAACTTTACAAATAATTAATAAAAATATAATTTATTTATAGAGTCAGTTGTGAAGCTATACCAGAAGAAATATTTGGTATGGGTACAACACCTCCATCAGAAAATGTATCAGATCATCCAGCTGCATTACAGTCTCAACGCTCTTATCCAGGCACAACACAAGTAACTCAAATTATTACGAATACTAGTTCGAGTAATACTGTTCCCCCATCTCCTACTACTATACAGGTGTAGTATTCAAGTAAATTATAATAAAATTTACAATATATCCTAATAACGAAGATTTTTTTCTACATTTTTACAGATTCAAGGAAATTTTTTGGGAGTACGTGCAACACAAATTCAATCTGTTACAAAACCTCCACAATCACCTACACAAATTTATCCTCGATTATCTAATTTTGATTCTGGTCAAAAACAAATACCATTAGGAACAGATAGTAAACCACCTATTGGACGTAATCATCTAGATAAAGTATTATAAATGATATTTTTCATATTTTTATTAAAATATGTATTTTTTTATCAAAATT